TAAAAATAAAAATAAATAAATAAAGTAAAACAAATGGATCAAAATTATATCTCAAACAATACCCAGAGAAGCATAGGCTCACATACCTGTAAGAGTGGACAGGTTGCCTGGGGACTAAGTGATGTAAGGTCTGCCATCAACTGACACTTCTGATCATTTATAAGTGAGCCAAAGTGATACCTCTTCTAGAATGACCTGGGAATTTTTGAGCATTAGATTCAAATTTCACAATTCCATTTTGCTCACTATCTCTATGGTTATCTGGGAAATTATTTCAATTTTGAATTTTTCTAGAGCCTGATTGATCTCTTTTGTTACTTCCTGCACTTTGAGTTCAGGGTGTCCTGGTGGTTCACTATCGGCCTTTTCATTGTCATTTGCCCTACTGTTTGCCATTGGTGAACTGGAAGTCTGTCCTTGTGTCTTGCTTAAGTGTTTTCTCATTTTTATTTTTGTTGTTGGACTGTCCTTGGTTTAATCTCTGGGTTATCACCCAAATCTTCCTGATATATTTGAACCCAGCTTCTGTGTCTCTAACGACCCACAGACATTCTCATCTTCATAACATTAGAGAAACAGCTCATCAAATCAACCACAATGCTTTATCCCAACTGATGCAATCAGCAACACATTAAGATCAAGCACAATTTGGACACTGACCACCTGTGGTAGTCACTAGTCTATCACCCTTAAATCATTTGAATTAAATTGAAATCAAGAAGCAGTCCCGAACATGTCTGCAGTGAACAAAATTTCAATGTGTTGTATTTACCATTTAATGACTCAGACAGAGTGAGGATGCAAGACTCCTGGTCTCAGTTAGCTGATGGCTGAACCCCATGACACTGACTGACCTCGGGCTGCAAGGCCCAGATTGAGTTCCCCAACCTTCTGAATGGTTGAACTCCACAACGTTCTATTACAGGTTTCCCAGCCCTTTCTTTAAAGATGTTCAAAGTTGGGAACTCAGAAAAATACCTTTGATGACTACCTCTGCCTCTGCAGAGTGGGTCCAAAGACTGGCACAGTCAGGAGGTCTGAGAGTGTGGGGGGGGGCTTGTGGGGGTTCAGGGGCTCCCGCACGGCTACCTTCCTGGTGCTTGAGTGATGGCGGCTGGGTCGGGAGCAGGCGTGGCTCTCCTTCCTGTGGTGGATCGGGGCCCAGGCTACCTCCTGGTGCTTGAGCGATGGCGGCTGGGTTGGGAGCAGGTGTGTCTCTCCTTCCCATGGTGGATCGGGGCCGAGGCTACCCACCTTGATTCTTGTATTTTCCCCATTCCCTACCCTCTGTTCAACTCCTCCCTCCTTATGTACAAAAAAATTGTTTCCATTATTTTTTATTTTCTCATATTAATTCCACTCCCTTTTTTTCCTTCCCTTACCTCTTCTATGTCCCCTTTCCCTTTGTCCTTTTTCTTCCTATTTCACATTATCTATTATACTCTTTAGTCTTTATTTACACTTTCAGTTTTTCTGACTAGAGAAACTATTTGGCATTTACACATGTGTCCTATTTATATCAAGAGTATTGCCTCAGTGTGCATCAATTTAGTTATAAATGTCTCTGATAATTTTCATCTATTTTAAAGGACACTGAGAAAGCAACTCAGCTCTTCAAGGTTGATAAAACATTTATCATACCTCTCTGATTACTTTTACTTGACTGAATTGTAGTTATCTGTTTGAATTTTCAACCAGAAGAATATCTGGGTCTTGGTCATCTTGGTATCCACTGTGGTTATAGAGAAGCTTTAGAACTGCATGGCGAAGGGCATCAGTTCAGGAATGAGTCAATAGAATCAATAGGTGTCTGTGTTCTTCACATGTTCCACATAACTTCATGTGTAAGGCTCTTTATGTTAGGAGATGTTACTTATGTATTGAATTGCTCAAAGAACTTGCTTTCTTTCATCTCCCCATTGCAGAACAAGACACTGTTCATTGGTAAGAACATGGTGGTGGATACACTGTGCTACCAAGCAATGAGTAGCCTTTTTCTTCCTGTTGACACAGATTTCCAGCACACTGAACAGGTCTGAGATAAGAATGGGAGGTGGAAGGTCATATTAACTCTAGAGATAACATGATCTTAAAAAATATGTGTTTCGGAGGGAAATCAATATGCATGAATTTCCACAGGGATTTAATTTCCAAAAAAGAATCAGGAAGTATTGGGTTTAAGGAATTAATGAAATTGACCACAGGAATGTGCTGATATTCTGGTCTTTCCTGTTTGAATGCATTCGGTGAACTTGTCTTGATGGAGTGAGAGAGGAGGGAGATCCCTTGAATTACATTTCTCTCTCTCCCTATTGAGGTGTGATTTGTCCTTAATAAGCATGTACATGTGCAGTAGAAAGAAACTGCCATATTTTTTTCTGGAGCCTTCTGAGCAAAGCTTTCACTCAAAAGTGACACACTATGATGGTAAAAGTTTCAAGTTGCTCAACTGCCTCCTAACTAAGCAAAGGAGGCAGGTGAGATGGTTGTAACAATAAATTTTACCCATGAGATACCCACCAATTCAGGCCCATGTCAAGTTGCTTCAGAGAGAAGCCAGAATGATGAGAGGAGTAGATGAAGACTGAGTGTCAGTCTCTGAAGAAGGGCTGACAGGCAGAAATAATTCAGACAGGATGTGCACAAGATTGACTTAGGTGTATTCTATTTATGCTGAGTTTTAAGAACTTTGAGGTTTTCCTTTTGATCATGTAGTCCTCAGTTGCTAATCCTAAGAAAACATGGAACATGAGTAAGAGTGACAATTAGGAGCCTGTGTAACATCCTAGCACTCAGTCCAGGAGTTTCTCCAAACAGAAATGTTGTGGGGCCTCATAGGTGACAGTCAATGCTATTATGAGTGTCTTTTTCCTCCTTTTTCAAGATCTCCTCTTCCCCCATTCAAGTAGTCAGTCATTCACCAAAAAGCCATCTGCTCTGATCCCCATTGTCCACTCCCTTAAAAGCCAGAATCATCTCTTTGGAGTCCCACATACCAGGTGCTGCCTCTAGTGACTTCTGCTGAGGTGGTTAAGGTGTTTGGGATCCACCTGGCAATGCAGGGTGTTCTTCTCTCTCATATCCATGGATCTTGGACATGGAGTTATCCAGAGAGATTGTGCCATTGATCCAGAATCTGGCTAACATGCTCTCTGTGGAGGACCCTGTTTTGAGGGGCTGCCTGAAGAGTGGAATAATTTGGTACTGCTCAGTGTAATCGTAAGCCCCATCTCATCTATGTCATATTTCTCTATTAAAAGCCTCCTCTTCACATAATTTTGTAGGTCAACTTGAACTTTCTGTATGGTGGCAGAGTCACAGAGAATTACTTTAGTTGTATTAGCAACCCAGGAAGATGAAGTGTTCCCAAAAGATTTACAGGAAAGTTCAACACGAGGCCCAACAATCTCCTGGCTCAACTCAACCAACTTGACTGGATGCCCTCTCTGTTAGATACTCTACTAGGGGCTAGGAACATAATACCTACACTATTACCTCAACAATTTCTTAACCTGGTGATGGAAAGATTCTGGAAATCACCAACGGTTATGAAAGCAGTAAAGAAAAGAATAGATATGTGTAGAGCAGACAGAATTTGTGCAACAGAAGTGGTTGTTGAAGACTCCATTAGGAGGAGTTGCCTGGTCTTGATTTTTTTCTTGCACTACTGATGATTGAACTCTTGACATTCACAGTGAGTTACACCCCCAGTCATTTAAAAAAAATTGGAGACAGGGTCTTGCTATGTTGCTAAGTGGCTCAGACTGGGCTTCAAATGGTGATCCTCTTGGAATTTAAAGGAGTATTAAGAGTTTTCTATGGGACACAGGGGCAGACTAGGTGCGTAGATTTGTAAACATTTACAGATATACCTTGTTTGAGTCAGTTTTATGTACCTCAGAATGAGAGTAGCCATGAAGAGTACTATACAAAGGGGAGGTTGGAGGAAATTTTGGGCCAATGGCTTATATTCCTGATAAGAATATACAACCTCTGGACTTAGAGATAATGTTGATTGAGTTGTATTGATTTTCCCCAGAATATGAACTCAAAGGAGGTCAAAGTAATAATGTGCCTGATGCTTTGTCAGCTGCCAAGCTGGAGCATGCATCTATCTCCTCCCAACTGCAGGGCATTTGCAGCTGGCCTTCCAATTGGCTGCTGCTCTGGCCCCACCACCATTTACAGCACATAAGTATTTCATGCCAACCTAACTGAATTTGTTCTGTGCTCCCAAGGGAAGCTCTGAAGACATAGCCCTGAAATCAGCTTGAAGTGAAACTCAGAGGAGATAATCACAGAAGGAGATGGACTTCTCCTTAGAATCTTGGGTTCTCCTGGCTCTCAGCCTGGTGCTTCTGTATCAGTGAGTAATTTTCCAGGATCCTCTCTTCTGTGTCTCTGGGTTTTGGGTAGGATCAGACCTCTGGTTCCCTTATATGTTTTGATGATCAAAAAAGATAACAGAAGAAAAGTTGCTACTAATGTAGAAGAGATTCCTACTGACCTTATGCAGGTACCTTGAGCATCCCATTCTCCTCTGCTGTAGCTCTGTATTCCTCTGGCTGGGAGGATTATTGGCACAATTGTTTCCCCTAGGAAGATTTTATTGATAGCTTGAACTTAGACTAATGCACCAGAACTCAGCAGAGACAGATTATGAACAGTTGCTTGCCATGTGCAGTAGGAAGTTCACCTCCTCAAACTTTGGAAATTCTGGGTTAGCTGTATTGGTTTGTGTTGTGTCTCATATACTTTGCCTTCTGTGCTCTTTCTGCAGGAAGATGTGTGGAAGAATTTTCCCCTAAGGACAAGGGTATTTTGTGCCCCCCCACAGACCACCCAGCATGCTTCACACAAGGCTCTCTCGTGTACCCCAGGTTTCATGGGAGGGCTGACTCCATACTTCCTTCTTTCCTGAGAACTTTTTCTGAAAATTCCATCCCTCCTAAAACTCAATTTCTCTACCCAATAGTATGTGGATTTATTTACCCCTAAAAGACAAATTTTTAGAGTAGAGCACATTTGGATCTTGGGGAATCATCTTAATCCTTACCAGGGCTTTGCTGATGTGTCCCTGATAAGTCCTACAAACACAGATCCTTTCATACAAGTTTTTTTTTCATTTTATGATTTCACAACATAAATTAGTTTTGTGCAGGATATTGAAACTTACACTGCCTTAAAGCCTCACCCTTAGATAAGAAGAAACAATTCAACTACTTGGAACATGTTATGATTTCTTTATTTATGTTGCATTATGCATTTATCAACAGGTAGGTTGTGTAACTTTGGACGGGTCCCCTCTCTTATAGCTGGAAGTACTTCCTGGATTATTGATTACTTATAGGTACCACACTTTTAGCCATGCTTCCCCATTTGGTGGCCATGGGGTGTAGTTTTTAGGACTAGCAGCTCTAAGATTAAAACAGATGTCAGCAGCCTCCTTCCTCAGCTTCTTTTCTTTCTGAAGTGTGTCACCTATAATTATCAGCAATGAGAGAAGGTCTGCAGGACCTATCAACTTCAGGTGTGGGAGTACATATGTGACACATCTAAGATGAGTTGAAGGCATGCTTTCCCTGGGGAACACCAGCCATAATAACTATTTTTTGTGCACAGTCAAGAGGCAGGAAGCTGATAATCTTATTAAACCTGAGCATGGCTGATATTGTGCTTCCCGTGTGAATCTCACCAGATGGAGGCCCAAATTCCTTGAGGAGAGGAATAGCTCAGACATGCCTTCTTCAGAGATTCATTCCTCTGCACTCTGTGACTCTTGGAAAATTCAGTGCTCTTTAAAAAAAACTGACTGCTCCTAGGGCTTTCTGGAAAAGCAAACTGAAGGAGGACTAGATTGTACAAAACAGGGACATGGCTTAGAGGGAATGAGAAACATGAAAGCCTTTGAAGAAACTGTAAGGAGAATGTTACCACAGGATCTCCATGACTTAATTACTGAGTAGATGCAGTTGTGCAAAACGTTTATGGGAATCCTCCCACTTCCTGGAGGAATCAGTCTCCAATACTGACAAAAGCAAATGAAATGCCCTGGGAAAATTACAGGCTGAATCTCTTAGTAAGACTCAAATTCGGAGACGTTTATTAAGGAAGATTGGGAGAATAAAGTGTTCAGCTGATTTTAGTTAATCATTGTGAATTTTAGGAAGACTGTTATTGGAGGTGAGGAAGGAGATGGTGAGTGAATGTATTTATTGTTGCTTCTGTTTTTTCTATTATATATAGCCTACTACCTCCTCTGGCTTGACTATTCCAGCTCCTGAGACAGTGATTGGTTAGTTCCAATATATGTAAAGTCACAGTCTCCATGACCATGCTCTGTTTTCCCCTTTATAGATATGGGGCCTATCGACATGGACTTTTTAAGAGGCTTGGAATTCCTGGGCCTAAACCTCTGCCTTTCTTTGGAACTCTTTTTGGCTATAGAAAGGTGAGTGTTGTTTGATTACCTTCTTGGGCAAACACTGGCCTTGTTGTATCCATGAAAGAGCTGTTTGTTTCTTTGTTTGTTTGTTTCTTTGTTTTTTGAGACACTATGTAGTTGAGACTGGCCTGGAACTAACTATGTAGCCCACGCTTATTTCAAACTCACAGCAATCCTCCTGCCTCAGCCTCTACAGTGCTGGGATTACAGGCATGTGTCACCATGCCTGGCTGAAAGAGCTGTTTCTTATGGAGAAAGTCCTGGAATTGTAGGTGTGCAGAAATGGCATCTGGGTCCTACCTGAAGCTGGGGCCAGATTTTCCCTGGAGCTCTGCTGTCAACTGTCCAGAGCCTCAGCTTTGCCTCAGTTCCACAGCACAGATCTCTGGCATGTCAACATTCCATGCTCAGCACATGAGGTTCAGATGTTGTGATCATCAAAAGCAAAATTTTGTTTGGTGCAGTATAGATCCAGGAAGGGACAGATGGTTGTGTCAGTATTTGGAAAAAAGCATGAAGAGATTCCCTAGCAGCAGTTCACCAGCCTGTGCACATTTAGATGCCCCTTTCCTGTTCTTCCCAGAGCTCATGAGCAGCTCTGATTCTTCTTTCTGATGGATGCTCAAGGTTCATTTTACAAGATTGCCCATGTCTTCTGCACTGGGGATTCACACATTCTCCAGTTGTCTTGGGCACTGCTCAGTCCTCTGTAGTTGTTTGCATAGCTCATTGCTTTTGACACCCTGGCATCTTTTCAGGAGTTAAGAATAGAATGAGAGTATTCTGCTGTGCTTCTTTTCCTTCAAGTTAACACCAAATGGATGAATCTGAGCAGGGAACATGAGCATATCTCAAACAGAATGAGATTGTCTATCAACTTGTTTTATTAAACAATAATGAATTTTGTTTTTCTAAACAAAGACAGAATCACTTATGCAAAATTACTAGAGAAATATTCGTTAGGGAGATTGGCCTGTACTTCTATTTTGAACTTTAGAAATGTATTAAAATTCAGATTGACTGAATATAATGTAATATGTAATGTGAATTTTGTCTGATCCCTGTAAGAAACCTGGACTGAGTGTTGGTCTGGGTCTGGCCCTTGGAGGGCAGTACAACCTGTGTGAAGCGGGCTTTCTACTCAGACTTCTTTTCCTGATGATTCCAGGCATATTTTGGATTCTAATATCTGCAAATGAAGCCTTCATTTTCTCACAATGCCTTCAAGATTCATACTCCCCCTCCCCCAATGCAATAGAAATTCTTTCCTCTTCATCTGTCAGTTGCATTCTTTAATACAGATCCCCAAGAGCCATTTCTCTGGGATCTACTTTTGCATAATTAACATTCACAGCTGCTACTTAGCAGCAGGAAGATTAGCTTTAAAGTTTCAAAGGTGAAAACTTAGAGGAAGTATTTAATTTGCTACACCTATGTGTAGAGGTGTCATGCTCCGTCTTTCCGAGTTGAGCTGGAGTGCTGGTAGGAAGACCACTTTGTCATTCCGCACTTGATTTTTTTTTCACTCAATAACATCCCTGAGAATTCAATAACTCCTATGGAATAAATTGGTCCCTGGTGCCTTCAAATTCCTAATTTGACCCAAATTTATCAAGAGGGCTAATGAGATCAATGAAGAGCTCATGAAGTCAATGAATGAATGGACACAACCCATGGAGACCCACTCGTTTTTTCATCAGGCTCAGTTTTTTCATGTACTCCTGAAAGGAATAATTCATAGCTTTTCAAGATTTTAGAAACATAATATGTACAAACAAAAGTGCTGCAGAAAGACATGTAGTTACTTAATGTTCACTTTCAAGGAGAATTCTTTCAATATGTTCAATGTTCCAAGAAAGTCAAGAATGGCTTTAAGGTCCCCAATAGTTCCTCTTATTGTCTGTGAATACAAGCTTTTTTTGTGGGGGGGTACCAGGGATGGAACTTGGGACTGTGCTGGAGAGGCAGGTGGTGGAACCACTGTGCTAAATCCCTGGGCCCAGTGTAAGTTTCTTTTTAACTTCAGTGAGAGATAGTAAGATTGATTTCATGGGATTTGAGTCCTTTGTGCCCCAGTTAGAATTAAGGCCAGTACATTTAGAACAATAATGGATTTTCATTTTTTTCTCTTCTCAGGGTATATGGAAATTTGATACAGAGTGCTATAAAAAGTATGGAAAGATATGGGGGTGAGTATTCCAGAAACTTCCAACAGGTACACATCAGAATGAGGCACTCAATACATGAGGACAATGTCTGCCCAGAGCTCATGAGATGTGCATTTGTACTGTGATACTTTTGGAGGTTTGTCCTGTCAAGGGTCCCCTGGTCACTAGGGGTCAAGGTCCATAGCTGGAATTGAGTTGAGAATGTTGCATATCATTCCTTTCTCCATGCTTTTATGGCCCAGAGATTCCTTCCTTTGCTTTCTTTCCCTTTCTTAGGTTCTTTCTAATTGCATGAAATGTACTAATTCAGATCCTGGTAATAGGTGCTCTTCAATGTATGATTGTATCTCCTTTCCATATATATGGAAATATATAAAATTATATATATATTATAAAATTATATAAATTATATGTTATATAAATAACCTTGTACCAGTTTTCAATTTAATATGTGCTTTTGAAACAGACTGAGAGATATAGATAAACAAATTGGGAAACAATTTATGCTCAGCATTTTAAAACTTCTATACATGCAGAGATTTTCTGTTTGTTTTGTTTATTTTTTATTTCAAGTCAAGACTTTTTAACAGACCTGTATGCAGGTATTTTCTGGTCTACCTTATTTTTCTGGCTTTGAGAAAGTAATGTAGCACACATTTAAACCACTACATTACCCTGTGGGCTACATTCTTGGTGATTTTGTGGGGAGATCTGGCCCCCCTGCAGCAGCTGTTCCCTTTCACAGCTGCTAGAGGCTTGGAGAGCAGTGGAAGATGTAGTCATGGGCTTTGGGTCACAAGCAGGTGGGAGAAAGCTTTGCCTCTTCCTACCTCTTCATCCTATCTCATTGGTCCTTAGGAACCACATTGCTGACCCCAGGGGTCTACAGATTGGACATGTCATGAAGAGAGAGTATTGAGTCATCATTGCTCAGATCACAGTTTCCCCCTGCAACATTTGGTATTCCTGAGCAGTGGTGTAATATATTTTTGATACTGAAATATTTTATTACATTTTAATTTTATGGTGTTAGGAGTTATATTTAGCTCTTTATGTAGACTACACAGGTACTTTTCCACTGAGGTACATCTCCACCACTGATATTGAAATGTTGTAGACATGCAAAACATCACAGACACTGGTATAGGCAGCACCCATGTTCACATCACTTATTTAGAAAAAGAACAGATCCAGTCGTATTTATAGTTGTGTGCCCTTTGAAGAGAAAGTTTGTCTTTTTTCTCTTCCTTGCTTGAACCACATAACTGTCAGAATCCCTATCTTGAAGTAGGAGCTAATTTTGCTGTGCATTTTAATATTATGGGTACATTTTATATAATGTCAGAGTCAAAATCTAGATTCCTAGCAATGTGTTAGATGTAGAATCTGGTTTGTTATGTTTAATCATCTCTGTTTTGCAAACACAGGTCATATGATGGTCTACAGCCTGTGTTGGCCATCACAGAACCAGACATGATCAAAGCAGTTCTAGTCAAAGAATGTTATTCTGCGTTTACAAACCGGCGGGTAGGCATCCCTTTAAAAAATGTAAACCTTCATTTATTATTTATTAAATTGTCATTATGTGCAGGTCATGGTGCCATATGCCTGTAACTCAACACTCTGAGGACTGAGAAAGAGGATTGCTGGGACTTGGGCTACAAAGTGAGCCCTGTCTCAAAAAAACTCACAATTAAAAATTTTCTTGGTACTGGAGATTAAACTTGGGACCTCTTGCTTTTGGGGCAGTTAGCAGAACAACAGAGCCAAATGCCTGGCCTAAAGCTTCCTTTTGAAATATAGACTCACAGAAAGTTGTGAAAACAATGTACATGGAAGTCTGTGTTATTTTTGCTGATGGTTATGTGTTGCATACTTGAGTTACAAACTCAATTCCTTTGCAATGATAGGTTGTAACTCAAATTGATCAATTGAAGGTTCAGACTTCCAAGACACAGCCTTCCAAGTTTCTTCCTGTGTAATTTTGGGCCACACATTCGTCCAAGCAGATCTCAGCATTCTTAGAGTGTCATTAGGCTAGGATTGATCAATTAACCCCAACAAGAAAGGATGCGGTAATGTTCCTTCCAGAGCTCTTTTAGGGTTAAATCTTTATCTGAGACTATTTGAGAGCACATGCAGCCAGCATTTGGGTCATAACTTAAGACTTTGGTTGTAAGTTAAAACTAAAATTCCAGTCATATCCCAATTTGTTTTATGTCATTCTGGTCATAACATATGGGTCTACTGTATTTGGAGGCTGACATTGATACAATCCAAGTAGTTTATTTACATTTTCTTAATTTTATAACAGCTCATTTGTTTGTGTGTTTGTGTTTTGGTATAGCTCTCTGCAAATTTATCAAATGCATGTTTGATAACAGCTAGCACAATCAAGATAACAGATGTATTCTTTCACCAGATGGCTCTCTGTTTCCTGTTCTCTATAGTCCTGTTGCATAGCTTGTCTTTCCATCTTCTCCTTTTTTGGGGCAGGGGGAGACGTTCCATTAATTTTTTAAAATTCTCTTTGGCTTTTTCTTCTGGTCTTCTGTTATCCTCATTGCAGGTCGCTTCTTCAATCCCTTCATTTTTCTAGTTTGTAGTTTACTTAGGTCTTATTTCTGCATATGAATCCTTCCATAAGTTGTACCAAAAGTATAATGGGACATATTTTTCTTCTTCTTTGGCTTGCAAGCTTTTGGCATTTTCCTAGATAACTTATAAAGGTCATCTGAGGCCAATGGTGTCTGGCTCCGAACAAGATCCAACAAAGCTCCTATGTCTTCTAACTCAATCCGTGGTGTTCTGCAACTGGATTTCTTCAATCGAAACATATAGCTTCGAAAGTAAACCTGCCCCTTCAGAGCAGTGAAGTGCAGAACATACTCTAACCCAGCCAGGAGGATATTTGCTTCTGTGGGGCCTCTGAAGAAATCAATGAGATTTTTTAGTCTTCTGTAGTCTTCCGTTACACCAAAATCATCACCAGCAAATATTAACATGGGTTTTGTTCCCTCAAGACATTTACAGTTCTTAATATCATTTGGAGACACAAATTTCTCAATACCTAATTCAATCATATCCAGAACATGGCAGTCATACATACGACCTTTTACTAGGTTATTGAGCCACTTCTTATTATGGGATCCAGACATGAATAAAGAACAATCTGACTTCTTTGAAAAGAATTCCAGTGATGTCTGATCCTCAAATGGTCTTGTAATATTTTTCTTTTTTTACAGAAATCCATATGTTTTTTTCAGTGCAGACACATCTTTCAGTACTTATTTCACCATTGCTTTTGCATTCCCCCCTTTGATCAGCATGGCATTTTTATTATTTTCACTGAGTTTCAGTTCTCTCTTCTCAAGGAATCTCTTGGGCCTTTCTGTTTTTGGCTTTACCACTTGGTCCAAGGTGTCCATCACTAACCCCTCAGGCTTGTCTTTTCTTCTTGACAGGATCTTATCTTTCTTTTCTAAGGATTATGATTTTGGTATCACTCTGATAATGATTTACCTATTGTGAGTCTATTTGCGTGTGTTTTTCTTGATAGAAGTTGTATCATGTTATGTATAGTGTTATGCTTTACTTCTAAGGCTAGGATCTACTTTGTGTTTTTTAAAATAATTTATGAGGTTTAGGTGAAGGCTCATTTTTTTGCCTATGACTGTCCAGTTGTCCCAACATCATTTTGGGGAAGGCTGTTTTCCCACCATTAAACTGCTCTCACATATGGCCAAAAATCATTTTGGTTCATTTGTGTAGGTCAATTTCTCTATTTTTTTTTCCTTGATCACTCTGTGTATGCCATCTCCAGTGTCATATTGTTGTTTATTGTAGGAACATTTTAATTTGTAATGATATGGAAAGTGATTCCTTTCACACTTTTCCCTATAGCTAGTTTAGCTTTTAGACACTATGCCTTTCCATCCAAATTCCAAAACATCTTGTACATATATGCAAAAATATTTTAAATATTTTGATAAAATGTATCATGTTATGTGAAGTATAATGTTATCTGAAGGCTTTTCTGTAGATTCTATTTCTCAAGTATAGGGACTTTCTCTCTCTTCCTACTTTTCTGAGTTTTGACAAAATAGGAATGTGAAAGATTCCATTTTAAAACAAAATAAATTTATAGAAACTGGAAGATAGTTTCAATAGGGAAATCATGATGCTTTGTGTCTAGATGTCCTACCAAAGTCTCTAAAATAATATAGACAGAAACAAAATTATATTTCTCTTCACTTGTGTTCTTTCACAAAGAATTGTGCATCATTACTAATATTTTATATTTATATTAAAATTCATCACATCAAGGCATCCTGTTCTTTGCACTGCTCTTGCTTCAGCTAAATATAAATTGAGGAGTAATCAGAGACATACAATTTTCCAAGGCTACCTTCTGTCTGTCATCAATGTATTTCTACAGTACACAATCTTGGAAGATGGAATTGATTTTGTTCTAGTCCCACGGTGGTGAAGCTTTCTGAGCTTTCAGTGATAAACAGTTGGGTGCAGCATATGGGCCATAACATATGCTTCCATGCTTCTAGTCTTTCCATATGGTAGAACAGTTTCCCATGACAATAGGCATTGTATTTAAAAGACAACTGAAAATTAAAGGCAGGAAAGCACTCTAGGAGGCTAAGTGTCCACATTCACAGAAGGCAAGGTACTTGTGACAAATATTTATTGAGCATCTGATGTGGGGCCTGCCGCCTAATAGTCACTAAATGTTTGTTAGATAAGTGATGTCTGTTTACCAGAATTTCTACTGTGGGGATTTTTAGATTTAAGAATGATAAATTGTCTTTATTTCCAAACTCTAGTTACTAGGTCCAGTGGGATTTATGAAAAATGCAATCTCCATATCTGAGGATGAAGAATGGAAGAGAATACGAACACTGCTGTCTCCAACCTTCACCAGTGGAAAACTCAAGGAAGTAAGAAAATAAGGGAATTTTAATTGAATATGTAAGAGTGAATCTGGGGACAGGTAGAAACTAAGATCCTAGTCTCTTTCCAAGGTGTGGTCCTCTGAATTGGAGCTTTGCAAGAATGGTCTGTTGTCTTTATGTGCAGAAGACATTGTAAAATTAATCATTAAATGTCACATATCACTTCGTGATTGAGAATGTCTTCTTTCTGTTGCCTGAGTCTATGGATTTAGCCATAAATGTTCTGTCTTGTGCTTAGATGTTCCCCATCATTAAACAGTATGGAGATATGTTGGTCAAAAACCTGAGGTGCCAAGCAGAGAAAGGCAAGCCTGTTGACTTGAAAGAGTAAGTATCAGTGCACCTGTTTGATGTCCATGTTGCCCTGAGACCATGTAGCTGTCTTCCAGGAAGCTGAAATTCTCACTGCTGAGTTACTCCAGGGCCAGGTGTTAGATCCAGGTGTTATAACAGGGTGTGGTGTTCCAGCTCCAATGGGCTGTGCAAGAAGGGGCAGATCCCAGGAGAAGACAGGGCATTTGACAGAGGAAGGATTTTCTTTCCTGAATAGGAACTAATATTAGTTTAACTATTTATTTATCATTTTGGCTTTTCTAGGCAATAAAATACATACTTTAGAAGGAAGAAGCGGAATCTTAAAAGATTATAAGTGCAAACGTTGGGGAATAGTGGGAGAAGAGTTTATTTGGTAGAAAGTGAAAGTCAGTGGGTTAAGAAGGAGTTACCATGTGGAACTTGGAACAATTTAAAACTCTTCATATTTTTGAAATATATCAAAATATTTAAATATTAAACCTTCACACCATTTTTCTTTTTATGATGAGAGAGAAAGAGAGAGGGAGAGAGAGAGAGGTGCAAGGCTATGGTAAGGCACCCATATCATCTATTGTATAAGGGGGATTTTTCAAATATACACATACCCTAGAGAACTTACTGTGAAAACTGGGGATATGAGGTCACTTACCTCTGGGGCCTGCAAAATCAATTTTCCACAGAAACGTAATAATAACAGTAATTATGATCAAAATTGGTTTTTAAAGACAAGGTCTGCCAAGTAGTCCCAGCTGAGCTTCTACTCACTGTGTAATCCAGGCTGGCTTTATACTCACGATCCTTCTGCCTCAGGCTCCCAAGTACTGAGATGACAAATACATGTCACCATAAATTAAATATAATTATTGTTAAAAAGGATAATTCTTCTTTGGTTGGTTTTTTACATTATAACAAAATAGTCTTGCCCTCAGGGTAAACTCCGACTCCTGTACTATGGGAGGAGCACATCTATCAGGAGCTTCAGCAGGGGATGTGGAGAGGAGGGATGATCTTCCTAGCTGTTCAGAATGGGGTGCTGCTGTTGTGCGATATGCTGAAGAGAAATCAGCTCAAGGCACACTCTGTGATGAGACAAGACCTAGATCAGTGTCACCTTTTGAGTCCCCAGTGAGAGTCTTATTCCTCCTGTTCCTGCAAAACATGGTGCTCACACATCTATTATCTTCTACACTCCACACACACTGCTGTAGTGTGTCTGATTGTGGGTCTCTGTGTCTTCAATGGAGCCCCACAAGTTCTGAGTCTAAGTCTCCTAGTTTCCCCATCACTCCAAAAACAATGGCGGTTGTATCAAGGCTCCCTTATCAGTAGCCCACAGTGAGCATGAGATGAGCAGAATGTTCAGCTGGCCTAGCAGACAGTGTGGCATTGTGTGGGTCTCTGCCTGTCTTGCTGGTATATTATGAGTCCCACTATTGGAAGAATTTGTAGTGGAAGAGGTACAGACTTTTGTTTTCCCCATCTTTCTCCACTCAGAGTCTTTGGGGCCTACAGCATGGATGTGATCACTGCAACATCATTTGGGGTGAATGTTGATTCTCTCAACAACCCACGTGATCCATTTGTGGAAAAAGCCAAGAAGCTCTTAAAATTTGATTTTTTTCATCCCTTGCTCTTCTCCGTAGGTATGTAGATTATTATAGTTCTTGCTTATTATAGTCCCACCTGCCTTTTTTTGTAATAGTTTATTGACATATAACTCACATATCATACAATTTATGTGTTAAAAATTAAAAATTTCAATGAATTTTTTCACACTTAATGAAATATGCATCCATCAACATTGTTAATTGTAGAATAATTTCATCACCTGAGAAATATTGTATCTTTGTACTTTCAACTCCCAGGCCCTATACCCTAAGCAGTCACTGATTTTCTTTGTTGAATCAGATTTGGCTTTTCTAGGCACTTCATATCAATGGAGCCATACAACACTAGGTCATCTGTGACTGGATTTTTTTCATTTGCACTATATCTTCAGTTTTTGATGAATAATCTTTTGTTGCATGTATATAATGTATTTTTCTTATCTGTTAATCATTACTTAATGAATATTTGAGATATTATTTGCATTTTGGCTATTGTGAATATTTGCAATGAACAATTGCTTACAAGATTGTGTTTAAATGCCTGTTTTCAGTCCTTCTTGAGGCATATTCAAGAGTAGCATTGCTGAGTTACAATGCAAATCTATTTATCTTATTAAGGAACTGATGAAATGTTTTCAATTTATCCCTATCATATCCACCATTTGATTTTCCCCTAGTTTTAATTACAGCCACCCTAATGTATCTGAAATGATATAGTTTCGATTTTCTTCCCCTGATGTGAATACTTTGCAACAATATCTTCTAAAGATAAATGTGTGATCCAGTACTTTGACCACATACAGCTGAAGTATTTATGTTTGTTTTGTTGTGGGATTTTTTTATACTTTCTAGGTATAATTCATTTACCAGATACATAACTTGCACCTTTTTTTCACTTATTTTGGAGGGGTCTTTTCACTTTTCTGGTAGTGCCTATTGAAGTTATAATTTTCAATTCTGATGATGTACAATGCCGTATTTTTCATTTTTACGTACACATTTGTTTATCAGTACCTCTATACTGTGTGTCTTAGATCAAGAAAATTTTCTCCCTTGGCTTTCTTCTAACATTTGCATGGTTGTTGCCCTTATATTTATATCTTTGATACATTTTGAGTTAGGATTTGTATTCCATTGTCCTTCTTTGCTCTTTTACATGTGACCACCCAGTTCTCCCAGTATACTGGTTGCTCCCACTAAACTTTTTGAAAAGGTTATTTTTACCCATTCAGTGGTCATGGCATCTTTGTCAGAATTCAGAGAAACAGGGGCTATGCATTTAGCTCAGTGGTTCTGCCACCTGCCTTGAAAATTCAAGGTCCTCAATTTGATCCCTGGTACCAAAACAGAATTCAGTGAACCGCAGACATACAGACTTTTAAAAAGTTATTTTTTTTAATTTGTGCCATACTTTATTGACTTTGTAGACATAAAAATATTTTTAAACAGTTCTGATACTTTTTCATTTGTACAATTATTTTTCATACAATGTTCATAATTGTCTTTATACTTTTTTCAGCTTTAACTGAGTTTATTGGTGCATACATGTTTGTAGTACATAATGTTTACATTTCTGTGTGGAGTTGATATATGTATATAACACATCTCAATTTTTCCTATCTTCTTTACATTCTGACCATCTCCTTCCTACCATCTCTTGATTCCCTTACAATTTAGAAACATCTAGCTCCCTACTTTCTTTTTTTTTTAACTCTTCACTTTTTCTCTGGATTTCTCATATAAGAGAAACCATGTAATACTTAAGCTGATGTGTCTCGATTTAATTTAATCCTATGCTCTCAAAATGTATCCAGTTTTCCTACAAATTATTAAAGTTTCTCTTTCTTTATGGCAGAGTAGTACTCCACTGTGTACAAATACCATGTATTCTTTATCCATTCATCTGTTGGACATAGAGGCTGCTTCTAAGATATTGTTTTAAGAATTGAGCTGCTATAAATATGGATATGCATGTATCATTGTAACAGGAAGTCTTTATCTCTTTCCACAGATACTTTGAATTTTAAATGTCAATAGTAATTTCCCCTCTTTCATTTTGGATACTAGTAACTTAATTCACCTATGTTTCATGGTGAGTCTATGTAGAGATTTGCGAATTTTGATGGTATTTTCTAAGAATCAGCTTCTTGTTTTATGAATTTCTCTGTTTTTATATTTTATTAGTTTCTAGTTTGTCTTTATTACTTTCATCCTTCTGCTTGTTTTAGGTTTAATTTCTTCTTTTTATTTTTAGTGATTTATGGTGTAAAGTTTGATCATTAGTGATTTAAGAAATTTATAGCTGTGAAATTTCCTCTGATTACTGCTTTCACACACTCTCAGAAGTTTGGTATGTTGTGCCTTCATCTTTACTCCTCTCAGTAGAACTTTTCATTGCTCTTTGAATCTTTCCTTCACCCATTGTTTAATTCAGAATGAATTCATTAATTTGCATGAATTCACATGCTTTCTACTTTGTGTTCTTGAATTTTGGCTTCATCCCATAGTGATTTAGCTTTGTCATGGCTGCTCTTTCTTGGACACCATGATTAATGAAAGTAGCAGACCGTGGTCCTGCTTACCCAAAGAGACTCTACTCCAATAGGTAAAATAGCAGGAAAGTTAGGGAATTTAACTTCTTCCCTTTTGTTCACTCCAAAGTGAAGGAGGGAGCACAGATCTCAGCACTGTGTTGGTGGCCTTCTGTCTGATAAGCCCTGGCTCAGTCCTTGCTGACATCCTGGAGACTGTGAGTCAGAGAGGAAATGGCTCCTGTTTGAGAATGATGACTTGTACCTTTTGATGGTTTCAGGAAAACACAATTGAAAAAAGTAAATTTTCCATTTTCATTAAAGATTGTATCTTCTTTCTGTGCAGTACTCTTTCCATTCCTCACTCCAGTATACGAAATGTTAAATATCTCTACATTTCCACGGGATTCTTTGAAATTTTTCACAAAATTTGTAAAACAGATGAAACAAAATCGCCTGGAACCTAACCAGAAGGTAAAATGTCGTGGTGATGGTAGTGGTGACTTGAGGATGTTAACATTTTAATAATGTTCCAAGCTGTATATGTATATGTATGTGTTAGTTACTTTTCTCATTGCTGACACAAAGTATTTGATATCCAAAGGTAAATGGGGAAGGTTTATTTGGCTAACAGTTCATAGAGGTTTCAGTCCATAATTGGTGGGCTCTGAGGCAGGGTGGCACAGAACAGTCCACCCCAAAGACCCATGCATGTCCCGTTATGAAAAAAACAAAAACATTTACCATCTCTAAGAGTTGCAAAAGTCCTAACAGTTTCAGCATTGCTGAAAATTCCACATCCAAAGTCTCTTCTGAGAGTTAAAGAAAACTCTTTGCTGCAAGCCTCTTCACAAATGAAAAGAAAGTTAAATACTTCCAACATTCTATGGCACAAGATAAGATATTTCTATTAAGTTACAAACAGGGACACAGCAAGGAATGGGAACAAAAGTAGTAAAAAATCCATCAGTGCAAACACTAAATCCCACAGTTCCACCTCCAGCATCTCTCACAATCTGTGGCAAGTTGTAAGCTGGAAAGGTCTTGTGTGGTTCCACCCCTATGGTACTGCAGATGGTTGCAGCTCCTACAGCTTCTTTCTTGGGCTGGTTCTGCTTCCTCCTTGAAGTTTTCATCAGACAATCCACACTCCTGGACTTCCAAACTTCTGGGGTCTCCACTGCACCTTTGGCTCCCCACTCACATCTTCTCACACTGCCCTCTCAGGGGCACACTGCCTGGACTCTTAGTCCTTTTTCTGAAATCTGGGTGGAAACCTTGCTGATCCTACTCCTCTGGCACTCTGCATGCACCTAAAATCAGCTCCATGTGAATGATATCAAGGTCCACTGACAACTAGAGCAGTAGTAGCCAGCCTCCCCTCTCTTTTAACTGTAGGAGCTGAGTGCCTGGATCACTGAGCACGCTGAATTCAATTCTGAGGAACAAATTCTCTAGGCTGTCACCATTTAAGAGCTTAGTGGTGCTACTTCCATTCTGGAACCAGGGAATTTGGACCTCTCCTCTCAAAACAAAGTCTTTCACATTTGCAATTTTGAGCCTGCACAGGGTGGAGCTCTGTTGGTTCTTCTAATGCCCTCAGCCAGTCTTTCTATTCTCCTGTTCCTTCTCAGCAATCAAGAGCTCCTCTACTCTATCTTTGCCATATACATCATTACTTGAGTTTCCTTTTGGACCCAATTCGAAGTGTTTTAAACCGTTCTACTGGCCTATTTCCTCTTGATTCCCAACATAGGACTGGCTAAAATTCCCACACAGTAGCTGTGCCATGGCCTCAACATTAGCCTGCCTGAAATTTCTTCTGTGAGATTAATTAGTCCACTGCCATTAATATCAGTCTCAGGAAAAGCCTGTGGACACAAGCAAAATGCAGACAAACTTTCTGCCAAGGCATAACACACATCATCTGAAGTCCAACAGCCAATGCAATTTTTTTCCAAAGAAACATCCTAAGTCTGGTCTTTAGCAGCTTTCTGGCCTTCTGATCTCTGATCAGAATCTCTCATGCAGAATAGCCAAAGGTGTTCCAGCTGTACATATTTAAGATGGCATCTTCAAGCCTTTCCTAACTCTTTCCTTTCTCACAAGCCTATTCCAAAGGCTCTTGTTCCACATGGCCAGGTAAAGTCACAGCAGTGATGCCACTTCTCTGATAACAAATTTCTTTATTAGTCAAATTTCTTTCATTGCTGAGACAAAACATGTGACACCCAAAGTTAAAAGGGAAATCATTTATTTAGCTCACACTCTGTAGAGCTTTCAGACCACAATCAGTTGGTTCCAAGGAACAGTGGCAAATGGCAGAGGAATATCACAGAGGAGAAATAGTTCAAGGTACTCAATGGAAACAAAACAACAGGGAACTTTACAGAGTCTTTCTGCCCCTGGATCCTATTCAGACTACATAGGGAAGGTAGCCCTTACTCCCTCTAATTTTAGTGCCCTTGGGGCTAGTCCCACAGTGAATCAACCACTCTATATCCAGCCACCTCTGAAAAAGCATGAAGCTTTGGAGGGACATATAAATACAAGCCATAAACATGTGATCTGTACACTTCTCTGTTTAACACAGAATCTGTTATTAGAGCAGGAGAGTTTTTGCATTTTTCAGGAACTAAAATGTTGGAAATTGGGGAGGGGGAATGAGAATGAGTCTGAGAGAAAGAGTTTGACATTGAAAAGTTAGACTGTTCAAAAAACTTAGTGTGTCACGGTAGAAGTGTTGTTGAAATAGTAACTTTACCGTTAAAGAAATCTCTGTATGAACATTAAAAATAGGGCATCCTAAAATAAAACTAAAAAGGAAAGTAAAAGAGAAAAGGCAATGATGTAACATTAAAATAACCCTTAATTCTGGAGATTAAAATAGTCCCTGAACATATTTAAATTGCTTCTCACTCTTATAGTCTTATCTTATTCTTTTTTTCATTATTTAGAGAATACTTTATTAGTTTCTGTAATCAAACCCACGTAGATATGACCTTACATATTTAGTTTAGGATTCCCTATTTTTAATGTTCATGCAGAGATTTCTTTAACTGAAATACCGAATAGTTTCTTTGGTGTGAAAAACTATAATAGTACACAGGATCCTAATGAGATAATTAATAATGTGAAATAGGAAGTAAAGGGCTAAAGGTGTAGGGAAAGTGGGAAGGGTGGGGGAAAGGTAATAAGGGAGAGGAAAAAAATATGAGAAACTGAAAAAATGGAAACAAAGTGCTTATAAATGGGGAGGGGAGGAGGGGGTGAAGGGAGGTCAGGAACAAGGGGAAAAAATGAGAATCAAGACCTATTATGTAAAGGTACAGAATCCCAATGATGAATGTTATTGTATTGTATACCTAGATTGTACCAATAAACTCAATAAAAAGGGGAAAAAATAGTAACTTTGCCAATTTCCTCCCCCGCCCATTATTAAAGAAATAAAATTACTGTTTAAAAGTTGCAATTATTGGTAGTCTAAATTGCTCCATCTTACAATGATAAGAAATTATTTCAACTTGAAGCACTTATCTGTTACATTGTCCAATGGAAACCCCTATGAGGGAACCTGGTGTAGTTTGGTTTGTGTCAAATATGAATTTCTCTCTTAGCCTGGAATGTGCTGGAGTGTATTCTAGGAATAGATCTTTAATGCTAGGTAACCCAGCATTGTTTGAGGAGGACTGTAGCCCATCACAAGTCCCATCAGCGGGACAAGGTGATAGGATGGGTACTCTAGATGTTGCTGAGGATTTTGTTGTGTTCTGAGAATGTAGAACATATGAAGATGATCACACAATGAGGTGTGGAAATGGCAGCCAAGTAATCTATAGGCCATTGCTTTAAGAATTAAGGGAGGATTCACTGTTTGGCCAGGAGTCTTTGTTGAGAAACCAGAAAAAGTGAGAATCTGCGATGGCAAAAGCCAAAAGCCGATGGGCTGATAGGTGATTTGCTCTCAAGGAAACATACGAATTTTCAAGGTGTGTATATGGACAGTGTCCTTCACTCCTGAATCAGCATAGCTCACTAGCCTTCTGGACTTTAAGGGGCCATAATGAGAAGGGAGGCAAAGTTCTGCATTCCTGAATGACTTGTGACCTCACAATTGCTCTTCTGTCTTTGAAATTTCTTTCTTATAGCATCGAGTGGATTTTCTTCAGCTGATGATGAACTCCCAGAATTCTAAAGACACTGAGTCTCACAAAGGTAAGCAAGCATGCTCTGTGGTGTACTGATGGCAAAACTCCAAGAGAAGAGGTTGTTTTGGAAAGTGCAAAAGGGTTTCCAGGTGGAGGAGCATTTCTGCCCAATTTCAAGAGGACAGAAACTCAGATATTATATATGGTAGCCAGAGGTGCTATCTGGAATCATACAAGCTTACGTATGTTCAAAGCTTGAAGGGTAACCATAACCAAGCATTTCAAGGCTGGAAGTTGTTAGGATCACCTATGTCAAAACAAATACTGATGATTTTCAGCTCCATCCTTACTAAGGGGGTCAGAAATTGCCTGCAAATTTCCATCTAGAAATATAATCAGAGGTATAGTTCCCAAGTAGCTGTGATGTTCATTGGGAATAGTTTGTAAAAGTATGTGTACTAGGTTACTTCATTATAAAGACATTTTCACTTTCACAATGAACAAGCTTTGGGGAAAACAGCTTTGACAATGTAAGTATCTTTTTCTCCTTGATTTGGTCAACCGTTGTTTTTTTCACCCATGGATTAAAAATAAACATTAAGAAAGTCATTTAGATATAATTCTCATACATGGGATTCATCTAATTTATGAAAATTCATGAAATTACATAGCTGTGGATGTGGTGAGAATGGAATAAAGAGCAGAAGATGACTAAGGATACTACAGACACCAGTGGAACTGAATTAAAATAATTCCACAGTTTTCTAGTTCTGTGAGATAGACATCATAGTGAAAATCAGTCCCATCATGACTCTGAATTGCTTTTCTGTTTCTTTCTAGGTATGTGGGAGCTTTATTTGTATTTTTGTGAGCTAAACAGTGTTGTGCTACATTAATCTGCTTCACCTGAAATTTATTTCCTTTTCTTTTAGCTCTGTCTGATATGGAAATCTTGGCACAATCAATAATCTTTATTTTTGCTGGCTATGAGACCACTAGTAACACTCTTTCTTTTATTATGCATACATTGGCCACTCACCCTGATGTGCAGAAGAAACTGCAGTGGGAGATTGATACTACTTTGCCGAATAAGGTGAGTGTACAGACGGTCTGTGGAAGGAGAGGGAAGAAGTCAGTACTGAAGAAGAAACCCTCTTCCTCACTTGCAATAAGAATTTTTACACACAGTGTCAGCACTATTCTCCAGCAGTATTTACAAGTACAAAGAATCCAAAGTTAGAAACAAGGGGTGAAACATAAGAAATAAGTGGTATTTGCAGGAAACTAAAAACTTTGTATGACAGTGCTGGTCCTGGCATATACATTGTCTGTTACCACAGTAATGGTAACATCTCCATGTCATGTAGCAGTGAACTTTCATTGCTCAAGTGTGTAGATAGAGATCCCTGCTCCTATTATTCATGGCCTGGCTGTTGGCTGAACAGGATTGGCCTTGGCTGGGCTGGGCAGGATGACTCAGCTCTGTCTACACATTCACAAAGTCCAGCTATGTAGTGAGACATAAGGAGACCAAGGTATGTTATAGAGTTTTGGCCCTGAGAAAAACTCTTAAACTCTATATTGTAACCTGTTCATTGTCATAGCAGGTGATAACCACATGGTATCCACACTATCCTCAGACTTTTCCAAATGGGGAACTGTGTAGTGTGAAGATAACTGGCTTCTGGGGTTGGCATGGCTGTTTTGGCAACGAATTAGACACAAAGCATCTTCTTCAGTGTTCACAGTGAAGCCCTGAAGCACCAACCAGGTGACAGGTCAAGTAAAAAATAATTGGGCAGAGTATGTTCCCAGCTTGCTTCAGCTTTTATTAGAATTGAAGTTTTCTGCCATGATAACATCATATCAAAACGTCTTTTAGCATAATGGAATCAAAAGAAACTAGTTTCTCCAAGTATTCATACAGTATTTAATATAATATTTATGTATAAATATATAAATCTCATGTATGTTATGAAAGGTATTAGTAGTACATATTGTGAATTTAAAAGCTTGATAAAAGCTGGCTATAGTTATGCACATTTTTAATTCTACTTTTCTAGGAGGCAGTTGCTATAGGATTGTAAATTCCAGCTCAGCCTGGGCAACATAGTGAGAGTGGAATGAGAAATTTTTTTCTCTCCATGTTCCATTATGTGCAGCTTCTCTTTGAAAGGGAGTATTGTCTTTGGCATAGTTTCTATTGTGTAATTGTCATAATCTATTAATCAAATTTCCTCATATGAGAAAGAAAATCACTTCTTGATAAGACTAGGGATTTTAGGACCTGTGCAGTGATTGTCTTAAATGTAGTCTACATTCATAGCTACAGTTCACATTTCAATGGCCTTCCAGAAGTTCAATGAATATGATGGTTTTTGAAATTCATGACTAAGGAATGGGGAAGGATTAAAGATTACTGACAGCAAATATCCAGTTCAATCCATGAAGTCCCAGGGAGCCTGCCCTTCTGGAGACCACTAAGTATGAGAAAGTTTCATAAACACATTTTCAAAGTGAAGCTTCTGTGGGTTTTTAGTGACAGAACCAGAAAGCAAAGATAGAAGACAAAGAAAGATGTCTATGCAAGAATTCATAGCGGGGAAAGGAATGGACAGGAGAAGGACAGGATAAGGTCAGAGTGTTCTGTTATATGACTCACCTTAGGGCAATCTAAGCAATAAATCAGAGTATGGGGGAGGATGACAGCCAGAGCATTCACTCTTTAAGGCAGCGACTTTGGATCCTACTTGGATTCGTAGCCCTGTTGGCTATATTTTTAGTCTATAACCTTTCATTCCAAGGGGTTTTAGATGTGTAACTCCAAAAGTAGATTATCTCTACATATTCATCTCATAAATACCTCTGGTTAATGCCCCACAGATAGTTATGGAAATGCTCTGTAACTGTTGTGTCCTTTACCAGTATGAATGAACTTTTGGAGCTCCTAACAATTCAGTAGTACTACACAGACTGCATTGCACATCAATTCCAAATTTCCAATAACCAAGATATGACTTTTTCTAGGCATTTCCTACATATGATGCCATGATGGAGATGGAATATTTGGACATGGTCGTTAATGAAACTCTCAGATTATATCCAATTGCTAACAGAATTGAGAGGATATGTAAAAAAGATGTTGAAATCAATGGAGTATTCATTCCCAAAGGGATAGTGGTGATGGTACCAACCTTTGCTCTTCAAAAAGACTCAAAGTACTGGCCAGAGCCTGATGAGTTCTGCCCTGAAAGGTAAAGGGACCTGCAGAAAGGAACCCAACCTGAACCTGGTTGGCCTAGGCATTCTATGAATAATGGAGATAACAGATATGTGATAGTGCAATCATTTGTTTACACATTATTTGGCTTTTAGAACTTTTAAAAAATCACACTGCTAACTATTGAAACTTTGAAATCCTTATGGCAGAAAAACTAAACATATGCTTAACCTGCAGTCCCAAAATTGTAAGATAAAGCCTATTAATAAAGTTACATAGGACTGATTTTGAAATTTGGTGACAGAGTGCTTACCTCAAATGTTATAGGCCTGGATTTAGTTTTTTTGGTTTTTGTTTTTTGTTGGATTTTTTTGGGGGTGGTATTTTTTGTTTGTTGGTACCTGGGATTGAACTCAGGTCCTTGCACTTCTGAGGCAAGTGGTGGAACCACTGTGCTAAACCACTGGTTCATAAATGCAATTTTTAAAAAAGTATGTGTATGTCCTTATGTACATATTTCTGTGCAGTTAGAAAATTTAAAAAACTAGTATGGTAGTACATGAAAAGCTATTAGCTTGCTTACAGTAAAAGATAAACTATTCATTATCTTTAATATATAATGATACAAACACATTTGCATGTGTATGTGTGTATTTTGGTTGCCAAACTTTGGTAATTGTATACATCTTCCATAATGTAGTTAACCACTATATTATTTCAGGATTTTTCATCTTATTGAGTTTATTGTTACTTTTTAAGTATTCAGTATAGTTAATTCATCATTGGGATCTTGTACCTTTGCATGACAGATCTCAGTTATCACTTTTCCCCATATCTTTTCCCTCACTTCAACCTCTCCACTTTCCATATTTACAAAGACTTTTTTGCAATTTTTTTTCCTTTTCTCATATTTTTTCTTGTTTCTCATCCCTTCCCTTGCCATATCCGCTATAGCTTTAGCCCTTTTCTTCCTCTGTAGCATTATCAATTTTACAATTTGGATCTTACTTCAACTTTTAGTTTTTCACATCAGAGAAACTATTTGGTATTTACACATGTGTGTCTATTTACTTCATTGAAGAGTATGGCCTCAATATGCATCCATTTTCCTATGAATGACTAGTTTCTCATTCATTGTGGCTGACTAGTATTCCATTTTATAGAAAAACCACATCTTCTTTATCCAGTCTCCAACAGATGGGCAACTGATCTGTTTCCAGGTTTTATGTGGGAGCCCGCTGGCATTTGACGTTGGAAAAGTAACTTCTACCATTGAGGCATTGACACAATCTATGACTCTATTTGGCTTTTCTGAGATGAGGGTCTCAGCTATGCAGATGAGATTGACCTGGAGCTCTCTGTGTAATCCAGGCTAAACTCACTGTGTAATCCAGGCTGGGTTTATGGGATTACGGGTGTCGACCTGGAGCTCACTGTAATCCAAACTAGTTTTATGGGATTATGGGCGTGCACCACCACGCCCGGCAAACAATACCACTGGACTCTCAGGTTGAGTGGGGCCTTCGCCTTTACATCAGCGGCCGTGATCCGGGTCTCACCTTTTCCATCAGGCTTTTGAAAGAACCACCTCAGTTCAAACCCATTGCCATTGGCCCCAACCCCCTTCTTTAAGAATGTTGCTTTTTTAAAGATAAACTAGGCCTGGTGGATGATAGCATTAGAAGGGTTGAGGAAAGCCTTGAACAAAGGCAGAAGCAACGGGAAAAGGACGAATCTTGGTATCAAAATTGATTTTCCCCTTGCCCCGCTTGCCCCTGGAGATTGTTAAATTAAAGATTGCATAGGGTTAATTGTTGATGTACGCCTTCCCACTTACCCCTCCCCACATTTGGTAAAATACTGATTGCTGTATGCTGATAAATGCTTTGTCCCTTTATGGTTAAATGCTTGAGTGACTCATGTGATTGGTAGAAGATTTGTTTGAACTGTCCAATAAGCTTGCTGAACCTTCCCCCTGGGATAACAGCATATAATTGTTTTGCTGAGCCAATAAAGAGCCTTTGATCAGAAATCAGACTTGGGCCATGTGCTCTAACTTCTTAAAGATTTCCTTCACAGACATTCAAGATCGGACCGGCCTCTGATGACCCACGAATAAGAGGCGGCTCTCACCTCCTATTCCCCGCTGGACGGGGTCCCCCCAGAGAGCCGCAGTTTTACCTATTAAAAACTGTGCCACTATAAACATGGGTGTGCATATATCACTGTGGTATAATTCTTCTAATTCTTTTGGAAGGATACACAGAAGAGAGATAGCTGGGACACATGGAACCTCTAGTACTAGTTGTTTGAGGTATCTCCATATTGATTTCCACAGTGCTTGCATCAGTCTGCACTCCCACCACCAATGGAGAAGGGATCCTTTCTCCCCACAACCTTAGCAATATTTGTTATTGATTGATTTCTTGATAACAGCAATTCTTTGTGGGGTGAGTTAGAATCTCAGTATTGTTTTCATCTGAATGTCTCAAATGACATGTTATGTGAAACACTTTTTCATATATTTATTTGCTGCTTTTACTTCTTTGAGACTTTTTCTGCATCTATTGAGAGGATCATATGGTTTTTGTCCTTGACTATGCTAAAATAATGTATTACATTTATTGATTTACGTATGTGGAACCATCATTACATCCCTGGAATAAAACCAACTTGGCCAGCATGTATGATCTTCTTGATGATCCTATGTATTCTGTTTGCTAGTATCTTATTAAGGATTTTAGCATCTATATTCATTAAGGAGATTGGCCTTTAATTCTCTTTTTTAGTTGCATCTTTCCATTTTTTGAGAATCAAAGTGATACTTGCTTCCAAGAATGAATTTGGAAGTATTGCTTCCCTTTCAATTTCATTCAAAAGTTTGAAGAGTAATGGCAGTCGTTCTTCTCTAAATGTCTTGTAAAATTCAGGAGTGAATCCATAAGGACCTGGGATTTTCTTTGTTGGTAAATTTTTAATTACATCTTCAATTTCACTGATTGCAATTGGAGTGTTTAAAATGTTTTTATCTTCTTTGTTTAACTTTGGTAATTCATAAATATCTAGAAATCCATGCATTTTTTCTGTGTTTTCCATTTTGTTAGAGTACAGGTTCTCCAAGTAGGTATTGACTATCCTCTGGATTTCTGTTGGATCTGTTGTGACTTCACCTTTTTCATTCCTGATTGCATGGATCTGAGCCTTTTCTTTCTTTCTTTTTTTTTTATGAGGTTAGCTAAGGGTTTATCCATTTTATTCATTCTTTCAAAAAACCAACTCTTCAATTTTTTTATTTTTAGTATCATTTTCTTAGTTTCCATTGCATTGATTTGTGCTCTAATCTTTATAATTTCCTCTCTTTTTTGAACTTTGGGTTTTTCTTGCTCTTGTTTTTCTAGTAGTCTAAGATTGATCATTAGGTTGTGTATTTGAGCTCACTCTGTTTTCCTAGTGTGGGCATTCAGTGCTATGAATTTTCCACGTAGAACTTCTTTCACTGTCTCCCATAGATTCCTGTATGTTGTATTGGCATTTTAATTTATTTGTAAAAACTGTCTGATTTCTTCTTTCATTTCCTCTGTGATCCATTGATTGTTCAGAAGAATATTGTTCAATTTCCATGTGTTTGTGAAGTTCCTGCAGTTTCTTGTGCTCTTGATCTCCAGCTTGATTGCACTGTGATCTGATAATATACAGAGAATAACCTTGATTCTTTTGCATTTATTCAAACTTGTTCTGTGAGTTAGTATGTGATCTATCTTGGAGAATGATCCATGTGCAGCTGAAAAGAATGAATTTCCTGATTTTGTGGGGTGGACCAATCTATAGACATGTATTAAGTCCATGTGTTCAAAAGCTTGGTTTAGTTCTCGTATTTCGTTGTTGACTTTTTGCCTAGATTATCTGTCTATTTGTGAAAGTGGGGTATTTAGATCCCCCACTACAATTGTATTAGTGCTTATTTGGTTTTTCATGTTTCTTAATATTTCTTTTATATAGTTGGGGGCACTTATATTTGGTGCATATATGTTTATGATTGTCATCTCTTCCTCTTGAATAGTTCCCTTTACAAGAATGTCTCTCTTAATAAGTTTTGGTTTGAAATTTACTTGGTCTATGAATAAGATAGTTACCCCTACTTTTTTCTGGGCTCCTGTCACATAGAGAATTGTTTTCCATCCTTTCACTTTCAGTCTATGGGCTTCTTCTTGCACTACGTGTGCTTTTTATATGCAACATATTGTTGGATTTTGCATCTTAATCCATTTGCTAGTCTATTTCTCTTGATTGGTGAATTGAGGCCACTGACATTGATGGTTATAACTGATATATACTGACTTATTATTGTCATATTATTGTCCTTTTGTTGACTCTTTTTTACTTATACCCCTCTCTTTTTAGTTTCTTACCTTTCCTAGTTTGATTTGTTCTGTTGGTACTCATGGTGTTGTGACCATCATTGTCTTTTTCTAGGATATTGTTTAGAATTCCTTGTAGTGCTGGTTTGGTATTCATGAAGTTTCTCAGGTGTTCCTTGTCATGGAAGTATCTTATTTCACCATCCATTTTGAAAGAGTTTTGCAGGATACATCAGTCTAGGTTGGAGGTTGTTTTCTTTTAGGACTTGAAAGACCTCACTCCAAGCTCTCCTAGATTTGAGGGTTTGTGTTGGAAAGTCTGCTGCAATTCTGATGGGCTTTCCTTTGCATGTGATTTGTTTCTTTTCTCTTACTGCTTGTACTATTTTGTTCTTCTGTTGGATTTCTGGGATCGTGATTATTATATGTCTAGGTGTAGATTTTTTTTTTGATCATGGTATATGCCTCACATATCTGTATGTCAAATTCTTCCCCTCTGTTTGGGAAATTTTCTGTCATTAATTCTGTGAACAGCTTTTTTAAGTCATTTGTATTTTCTCCTGCTACTTCATGGATTCCTATCAGTCTTATGTTATTCTTCTTTGCATCATCTAGGAGTTGTTGGATCAATTTCTCATGATCCTCTACTGTTTTAAGAGACCTCTCTTTTCACAGT